AGAGATGCAAACTAATGGTCTTAATGCTTGGTTAGCCCATTCTCTCTCTTTTGGTTAGCTCATTGCATAGCAGTACTTCTTAGTTTGTGGATTAATCACTTGACATAACCACGTGTACAGTTTTGTAGTCAGAAAGTTCAATATTTTAAAATGATAGTTTTCATGGGTAGAATTGATTTTGATTGAAAACTATTGCTCTAAGATTTATGCAATTTAAATATCTCAAATGTTATTGTTTTGTTTCCTGCTCCAGTATTTTGAGACAATTGGTAATAAATATTAATAATGGCCAATCTTCGCGAACAAAGATTTTGGGAAAGGTCTTTTACCTTTCCAGCCTGCGCAATGGATTTTTTTAGGTGAGACACAGCCTGCGCTGAACTGAGCCCACCCTTTAATCCTAAGGTTCATCTGCCGGGGCCAAGCGAGCTTGGACAATGGCAGTGAGGTCCTCAGGACGTAGGTTTGTTTAGAGTGACCTTCTCATAGGTGGATGGCCTCACAGGGCTAACGAGCTCCATCTGCCTGGGGGACCGAGGAATCGAACCAGGGTCGCAGCAGTGAGAGTCCTGCATGCTAACCACTAGGCCACCAGGGGTCCCGGTAATAAATATTATTCACTGCTAATTACATAATGCATTTTTTTTCTTATCTCTTTGCAAGAAAGAGAGGGAAAAATGTTCTGGTTCTATTTTTTAGGAAGATTTTCACAATGGATTAAAAATTTGCAATATTAAAAGCTCTCTACAACTGCGGAGAGCTGGCAAGGACACAGACAAAGAAGTCAAATGGTAAGTGATGAACATTATTTACTGAAAACCTCATTAGTTATGTATGATATCATTTATACATGATAACAGTGGATTTAAGCAGAAAATCAACCACAAGTTTTGAAAATTCTCTTTTCTTTTGCAATTTTAAAGTTAAGTCAACAATACTTTTCAAAATGTACATACCTGTGGCATTTCCAGCACAGACAATACACAAAACAATAATAATAATAATAATGGCCCATCTTCGCGAACGAAGATTTGGGGAAAGGTCTTTTACCTTTCCAGCCTGCGCAATGGATTTTTTAGGTGAGACACAGCCTGCGCTGAACTGAGCCCACCCTTTAATCCTAAGGTTCATCTGCCGGGGCCAAGCAAGCTTGGACAATGGCAGTGAGGTCCTCAGGACGTAGGTTTGTTTAGAGTGTCCTTCTCATAGATGGATGGCCACACAGGGCTAACGGACTCCATCTGCCCGGGGGACTGGCTGGATTCGAACCTGGGTCGCAGAGGTGAGAGTCCTGCATGCTAACCACTAGGCCACCAGGGGTCCCCGCACAAAACAAAAACAAATACAAAAACACAAAACTTTTCAACAAAAAGTAAATGACAAAAAAAACCCCTCCAATAAAGTGTGCAATACTGTTTTTTATTATTATTTTGCTAACACTTCAACTGATATGTTTCATAATTTTCTATGACTATACACTGCAACTGAGATTCTATCTCAAAGGAAAGCAAAATATTCTGATGCCATATACGAGCTCCTTTCTTTAAGTCTTCATGCTAAATAATCAGACCCTTGAAGTGTAGGTCAGTATATTCCGGTGTTCCCCAGACACACAGGAAGATGATATTTATTCCTACCTTGAACTATTATTAATGCCAAACATCTTTCAGCTCTTTAAACTAACATGAAATCTTCTAGTAATGTAAACACAAGTAAATACTCCAAGGAGAATGTTTACACCCAAATATGATACTGGTAGTGCTTTTGGGTCCTAATCTTAGCAACGTTTTTGTTTGCTGTTTCTATTCTATTTGAAGTCACAGCTTCATGAAACGGAGTGATGAAAGACCTTTTTACCAAATAATAATATCTCATTTTCAGTAATGGCAGTCTGATGAGCAATATCTAGTCTTGTTATTGCTATTTGTATTGGCTATTACATGCTCATCATTGCATATACGGGTGTACTATAAGAACACATTGCTGGAAATATATATATATATCATCATGGCTAGGCTTCGCAAACGAAGATTTGGGAAGGGCTCTACCCACATTTGCTAAAAGTGCACTGGTGGCTAAAGAGGCCAATGCAAGATAGACATATCCGATTGCAAAAGACACAGCAGAAAGACTCCTTGGATGGTATCAGCAAGACACGACTCTTTCTGCATTGTCTTTTCTCCTCGAGAGTGATTCTCAAAAGAATCAGCAGTGTTATAGATAGTGTGTCTCCAGGCCTCCCAATTGGAGGCCAGAGTAGACCAGTGATGAAGATCAATATGGCCAAGGCTGAGATGTTTTTTCAGGGAGTCCTTGTATCTCCTCTTCGGGGCTCCTCTCTTGCAGCAGCCAGTGGTAAGTTCACCATAAAGCACGATTTTAGGGAGGCGGTGGTCCTTCATCCTTGAGACATGTCCTGCCCAATGCAGCTGTGTTCTCAGCAACACGGCCTCAATACTCATAACTGCTGCCTGTTCTAGAACAGATGTATTGGTCACATAATCTGATCAGTGGATGTTTAGGATTGCACGGAGGCAGCGTTGATGGAAGCGTTCTAGGAGTCACAGGTGGTGGCAGTAAATGACCCATGATTCAGATCCATATGAAAGAGTAGACAGTACAATGGCTCTGTAAACACTGATCTTTGTGCTTTTCTTCAGGTGTTTATTTCACCAGACTCTTTTATGGAGTTTTCCGAAAGCTCTATATGCCTTTGCTGATATATATATATATATATATAAAAATATGTATATATATAACACACAGATCGAACAGAAAGTCCTTCAGAATAATTTCAGCTGGTGGATTCCTTGCTGTGTCTCCCTTCTATTCATGATGTAAAGTAACGCCACAGAATGAAGTACTAAACCTGTTAACAATGAAAAAACCTTTGATATCTCCATAGAATTTTCACCCCTGACAGGACAAGAAACCTTTATTAAGGTCTGTACATGGCATAAACACCCTTTACATTTCAGGGAACGAGACTGCACTAAAACTGGTTTAAAAATCCAATTTACTCCAACACTTCTTGAAAAACTCATCAGGATACCCAAGCCATAGAATATTTTTAAAATCAGTTTCTTCACTTGTTCTAAAAATGATCTTCCATTTCCTAAGGAATATCCCATGTTTTCTTATTTTGAGATGCTAACAAACAGTGAGCTAAAACCTCTGTACAAATCACTGCTTCAGGATAGATCAATCCCAGCTTGTAGGAAAAGATTTATCTTAAAAGCATGGAAGCACTAGAATACTGGGTCCCATGTTTAACTTCAATAAGACTACTGACAGTCTTTTCTTTCTTTTCTCTAGACACATGAGCAGTCCAAAAACTAATCCTATTAGAAGATTTCAAATTAATACACAGTTCAAATTACTGTACTTTTTCTGCATGTCTGAAGTCCATAGACAAGAAATTTTATCTATGAAAAATGAAACAACTTACACTGCACTTATCTGTACTTTCTCTAATTTAATATATAAGACCCACAGCACCCCAGTTGCAGATATGTCTAGCAGACACTTACAGAAGCAGTACAAGAGTCAACTTAGGTATAATGCTAACTTTCCTTTGGTTTATCCTTCCAGGTTCTCACAATTGATTTAAAGACTACTTTAGCAGGAAGTTGTTTCTGGATCATTGTGGTTTATGGGGATGCCTATATGCTGGGGAGTTTTTGTAAACCTTTTTTTAATAAGTGCCACAATTTAATTAGATGGAGGTTGCTTTGGGATGTCACAGACTTTTTTTATACTCAGATATGGTTGATGTTTTTCTACTATACAAAATGGACCCCTATTATACAGAAGGCCCTCAGTGGAATTACATTTATTTTTAAGAAGACAGTCAGTTGACTAATTTTGTTGTTATTACACTTGTGAGTTATTACACTTATGAATTATCAAGACCCAAGTTCAGAAAAAGGAAATAAAATCAGAACATAAAAATCAACCTGCCTTATTGGAATAAGTGACATCAGCTTGCACATCTAACCTCTTTTTCCACTAGACCTGTCAGACTATGGACCTGTTTCACCTTGGACCCTGTGGAGGCCAATACAAGTATCCAGTGATAAATTTTCAGAGAAGATTATACAGCAGACATTCTTATGCAATATTAAATGTCTCTATGCCATAACACAATTCTGGTGATCATTGGGGGGAAATTAATGCATAATTGTCTTACCTCTATTCCCCATATATGTTTTTCTGCACAGGAGATATTTCTTTACCACTCTGATTTTTTAAATTTATTTCTCGTCTTTAAGAATGCAAATAAACCATTACTAGCTAAAAAGTGGTATTGCAATAGGAGGTAAATTTTCTTCATAGTAACAGGCAAAATATCTCTTTTCTTTTTCCTTTTTAATACTTCCACAAAGACTTTATATGGAATCATGCAGCTTTCCCTGTGTTTCGTCCTAGTTTTCTCAGGTACAATCTGAAATCTTTGGCCGAGAATAAATGACTTGCAGAAGACAAGATATATGCAGGGTTTAAACATAACTGACTCTCACAAATTTTATATACGGCTGTGTTTTCAGTCAACTGTTCTACTAAGAAAAAGAAAAATATTAGAGACACAGTTTCAAGCTTTTAAGAAAACAGTCAACTGAATACAAATTGCTTTCCATTTTTCTAAAAAATATCCCCCAATAAATATCCATAATTTGAGTAACCTGTTGACACAGATAACACATTTTCACAATGTCTTCAGATGCAAGACACATGCAATGTTTTCTTCTGAAGCTCCCATTATGCAAAAACTGAAGCACATGGGTTACTTCCATGCACATGAAGATTTACAACAAACCTAGTCGGTTCTGCACTTGCAGGAGCGTGTTCGGATTTAGGACCACTCTTCTGTCCTTCATCCTCCTTCATCATATCACCGTGTGTTCAAGGCTCCTTATATGCAGTTGTGAGGGCCCCTGGGCATTCCTGGCTGTGGCCCTGGGAAGCACGGATTTCCAGGTGGATAGCCTGGCATTCCATACCTTCTTGGCCCCGGGGGCCTTGTCACAGCTATGGATGGGGGAGGAAGGTTTCCTAATTGGCTCTGTGGGGGATAGTGGCTGCCTGGGGCAGGGCCAGGATGCTGGAGCGCCTGAGAGGAGCTGGCTTCTTGTGGCTGTCCTGTCTTCTTTGATTCATTGCCATCTTGTCCTTTCTTGTTGTCTGAAATGTGTTTGGAGGACAGAATTAACAAAAGAGCATGCAAGCCAGAAGTTCCCTGACAGAGAAATCCTTCAGCTGCCTGACCACTCCAGAGCGCAGTAGAAAGTGTGGGCCTCCCCTGCCAAAACCTGGGGTAATGCATCTTTATGATCTTTGTGCTGTATTTTCCATCCAGTTATTTCTGCAATGTTGTGAGAGACTGAAATGGTTAATGGCTCAAACATTATTAAAATCACTGAAGTACTTTTGTCCACTGTAGCAAACCATGAAAAGAACCAACTGCTGGTCTGCGACCGTCAAAGCCCATCTACCCAATATGTCTCCTACCTGGAGGACCATGATGGGAACTTGAGGTAAGATAAAGGTGATACTGTCATACGATTATCTCAGGTCTAAGGAGAAATAAACAAGGCTGGGAGGAGAAGAATGTATCCACAAGGAAAGCCAAACTCAGCAGCTGTGTTGAAAATCAGCTCTGGCTGGGTTTGGCAGTGGGAGACCATAGGCCACAGACTACAAGCCAGAAGGGAAGGCTACAAGCCAGACAAGAAGCAGACCCTGCACAGTGGGGCTGCTGCTTTTTATCAGTAATTCGCCCTCCATTACACAATTGGAAGACTTCCCCCTCTCCCCGGTGAAGGCCTGATGGAGCATAACTGGCTCAACTGCACTACTTGAGAGGCTGCTGTCCTATCTTAGAAGGTGTCATAAATCATCAAAGACCCCCAAAGCGCCCCCCAGACCCATTAGTGAGGCCTTCCATCAGAGGACTGCACGTGATACGGAAGGGTTGCAACAGATCCAGAGTCTGTTGCAAGAGACAGTGTAAAACTTCCACCCCCTCCCCAAGGGAGGTGCTTGGGCTTTCTCATCTAGGCTGAATGTATATTAACCCATTGAACTCTGTGTGGGACCCTCAACACCAAGAAGTCCAGAGGAGGAGGACCAATGGGACACCATCAATACCCACATGGTGGTGATATTTTCCACCTAATCTGTCTCTCTCTATCACTCTCCTCCTGTTTCCCCCTTTCCTATTTCTTTGTATCTCTCTTTAGTGCACATTTACGGTTAAATAAAGTCCATACTGTTTCAGCATAGGTCTTGTTTGCACCTTAATTCAGGTAGAGGCATCTCTCTAGTAACTTTAATAATCAGATCATATAGGCCCCCATGGGGAAAAGTGGAGACTTTTCCCAAGATGCACTTAGATATCATCTGTCAACAGTGATGAAGGTAGTAATTAGACGTGGTTCTTCCAAAGACAGTCACCTCTAACCTGAGTTTCCCTCCTAGGCTTGAGGCAGTTGAGCTGCTGTGTGGCACGCATGCATGATGAGGAAAAGGAAAGAGCCACCAAAATCCCGCAGGACAGACTGAAACCTGCCTACCCAATCTAGGTATTCTGTTAAGGAGTGCTACCATACTGTGTTCTGACTATACCTTCTCCAGGTGAACCTGGTACACAGGACCAAACTGTCCTGAGTATTTCTGGGTCAACAAAATATGACAGAAGCGTACAAGATTTAGACTTCGACTGATTTGTGGTAGATAAGAGGCATCGTTGACATTCAGACCACTCTTTAAGTGGGTTTTTTTTCAGTGAAACTGGGACCTTCAATTCATTATAGTTCAGCTTTCTACTTTCGTGCTGCCTGGTGTGGAATAATGTTACAGTATTTCTTAAACAAGCCAAAGAAAGAAAAGTGAACTGGAGATTAGGCTAATACTTGCAATTCAATATTGTGAATATGTTTCAGGTTAGGAAGCAGTCAAGGCAGTGAGGAAGACTAGGATCACACATGCATGAATTCCTCATACTGAGATGTTCAAACCAGTCCTTACCTTGGTTTGGAGTGGATTCATCTTGCTTGCCTCCTTTAGGCTTTGGCGGTTCTGTCTCAAATGGATTTTCTTCTGGTTCATTTGATTTTTGTGCCTTTTGTTTGTTTCTTCTTTTATTTTCTTCTGCTTGCTAATGATGGGGAGAGAGAAGGCATCTTTCAGTGACCCAAACAGCTTCTCTAATATTTAGTAAAACCAAAAAATCAATAATTCTCTCTTCCTTACACTTTGTAACTTCTTTTTAAGTTCCAAGTTAGCTTCCTTGTAGGATTTGGATGTCGCGTTGAGATAATAAATACTCAGGCTAAATTTAAAGAATAATAATTTCTTGTTAGGTGATGATTTACATATAAGGACTCAGAACATTCCTATTGCAACAATTACAGTTGTGATAATATAAAGTCTATATCTTTTCCTTACATATTGTGCCTAATCAGTACTAGTATTTTGACAATGAACAATGAACAATGTGTTGCCTTACAGTATGGAGAAGGCACTGTTTTTTGAGGGGGCAAAAAACAAAAGAAATTATTCTCTCTCTCTTAATATTTTGCCTTCAATCTTACAGTAGCTAAGGATGTTCCATAAAGCAGTGTTTCACTGTGAAGTATCTTCTAAAGAATAACATATAAAAGTTAATTAATTTGTATGATATACCTTAAAAATGACTAAATCATATTTATAAAAGCTATTGAACTAATACAGTAGGTAATCTGCAATACTGTGGGAAAAAACCCAACCAAAAGCATAGATTTTTCATTTTTGTTTTTAATTATAACCTCCTTCTTCTAGTAAACAAAACCATAACTGCATAACATAATGCAATTTTCATTTGTTAGTGTATGAAATTACTGTTGTGATAACTATGGAATCAGTAGTTTTCACCATCCTGATTTAATTAGAAAAAATCTGATATGCAGTCTTTTATTGATGTAATCAGTAAATAATGAATTATACATTAAAAAAATTAAATATAATATTATATAAATAATATAAGTATATGGGACATGTAGATACATAATATATATGTTTTTATATAATAAATAGTATGTTTATATTATTGTTATATTTTCTATTTATATAGTTAAATAATCATAATACTACTAATGATGATACATATGCTGTTTCCTCTGCTTTGCCTGACTTTGCTTTGTATTTTCCCTATGGTTTTTTTCCCCCTCTATTTATTTTTGGTGTCTTTGCCCTTTATATCTAAGGGTTAAAATAGAATATGATATTAAGTGAACGTTGGCAAAATTTCATCCCATAATTTCATCTTCCTCGTGCAAAATCCTTCTGCAAATTCTGTTGTATTTTGTAATCATCTCTATATTTATTGGCAGTTCTACAATGCAAAGTTAAATCCAAGCCCATGTCTATGTAGAATTAACTTTTAGTTCAGCAGTATGCTACATAACCCAATACATATATATATGCACACAGCAGGTTAAAATGCCTTTATAAAGCAGAACAAGTACTCTGGGGTCATTTTCTTTACCAGATATTGACTGACTTACAAAAATCTCTACCAGCCCTATTTTATAAAGTCTCCAAAACCCTGCTTCACACCTGTTCCAATAGCATAGAGTAGTCTTTAAAAATAAAAGGCATCAAAGATCAGACTCACTGAAAGTTACTGAGAATAACTCTGCTCCATGGTGTTCATGTTTCTATTGAACTTGCTGAGGATATATGACATGCTAGTCTGCGTATGGGACTAGCTGATCAATGTTACAACACTTCAGAGCCCCTACAGGCTTTTTGCATTTTAATAGCTTCATCATTATTGTGGCAGCAACAATTTTGAAAAGAATAACAAAACAAAAGAGAAAGCCATTGAACAAAAAAGAGATATCAACCTTTCTGCAAATGGACATTAGGTATGATCAAATAAAACACTCACGAATTCTTCAAGTGCTGACCACTGGACAATCAGTACTGTACTTAATTAGATATTCAGGCAGTGAAGATTCAGAGTGAAAGAAAATTAACAGGACTTATAGTTAATACTCTATACATACACCATCAGCAGTATAAAGGGTAGGATGAGTCCAGGGTTAGAGGCATAGCCAAATACCTTCCCGAACCAGGAAGGGAAGTCATGCTCCAGAGTTTCTGATATGACTTCAAACATTCTAGTCTTCCCACTATTAAACAGAAAAGTTGACAATATGTCACATACTAATGTTATGGCAACTATGAATATATATGCTAATCACACCACATCAAACCTGGGAAAAGGACAATAAACTGTGTTAACTTTATTTAAAACTTTGCACTCTGGAAGGAATAGTATCTTAAGTAATATTTATGTATTCTAGAGGGGAAAGTAGACACCAAAATTCTTATTGTATGCTAATAGTTTTCACCTGCAGTTGCCACCAAGATTACTCCTCAATGAATCAGTGTACTGAGTTGTGAACTCCTCACCATCAACCAGTGAGTGAAGTGAAATTTGTGCTCTATGAAGACATGGAGGAAAATTCAAATCCAGTTTTTATGGTTGATAAGCAAAAAATGGTCTGCTTGCAATTAGTTTTTGATCAGCAGTGTTCATCCCAATTCTCCTCTCTCTTTGCTGTGCACCAGTGCTACAGAAGTCAGTGGCTGTGCTTCAGGAGATATTTGTTATTGTTGAAGCAATCTAATTACCTTCATATGTAATTGTTCCATGGCTGGCTTATCTACAAAGTATTTTCTTCCTAGACTATGCCTCTTCAGGAATATTTCAATAGATGTTCCAGAAGTCCCTCACATTTTATTTTGCCTTTGTCTGTGCCTCAGAATATAGAGTTTGACATTTTCAACTGAGCAAAACTGGCAAAATGCCTCTCTATGTATCAAGACTAATTGGTAATTTTACTTGGTTAAAGGAATTGTCTCCAAATTGCCATCTGATAGTTGTCATTGCAGTCTCCTGTCGTTGCTTTTCAGTTCTTGTAATGCATTTCTGACAAATGGCTCTTTGTTTTTAACTCATTCTTAACATTTACACTCTTCCAGGTAATATAAAAATGTTGCAGGTAGAATTCCTCAGGTCAGTTCTTTGTCTCTACACTCTCTAGTCACTCGTGGTAGATGAGAAATTCCATTCTGTGCTCTCCTTATCTTTCCTCAGCATGTACAAAGCTTTTTCTGTTGCAACTTTGCTAATTCTGTCCTGTCTTCCTTACTGTTGGCAGGCCTCTGTTGAGTTATACATGTTGCTTTTACTGAATGGACTAAAATTTGGGAAAAAAAAAAAGTCCCAAAGAGTCACAAATTTCAAAATAGATGAGCCACTGAGCTACCAACAGGAAAATATTTTTCTTTTTAAATACAGAGCTGTGTCTTACCAGTATTTATCCACTGGCAGCTCAACTTTGGCATTACCTCTACCCAGCTTGAATGAAACTTCATTAGTTTGAAGTGCTCCCCATTAACAGTTACATTGAAGGTTTCACATTTTTGATGAAGAACAACTTATCTCTGCATATGCCAGAGAAAAAGTGGCAGACATCTTTCTCATTTTGAAAAATAATCTTACCATTCCATTAATATCCATTTGAATAACTATTTCTACTCAGATCTGACCTCAAATATCTCCCTTTGTATTTTTTTGCTATGGCTCTAATAAAATATCTTAATTTGTATCTTTTGCTTTGTTATAATTTCTTCTGTCCAAGGCTTTTGATACTGTGAGCAGAAAAGGTCTCTGGCAGATTTTGGAACATTTAGGTTGTCCCCCAAGTTCCTTAAAATGATCATCTCACTCCATGAGGATCAGCACGGCCAAGTCAGATATGGCAATGCACTTTCTGAGCCCTTTCTAATATCCAGTGGTGTGAAACAAGGTTGCGTTCTTGCACCAACTCTATTCACAATCTTCTTCAGCATGATGCTCCAAAGGGCCATGGCAGACCTCAATGAAGAAGATGGTATCTGCATTCGATAACAAATTGATGAAAGCCTATTCAACCTAAGGCGACTGAAGACCCACACTAAGACCTTAAATCATCTTCTCCGGGAGCTGCTTTACGCTGATGACAACACCCTCGTCGCCCACACAGAATTAGCTCTGCAGCGTTTAACATCCTGCTTTGCAGACGCTGCTGAGCTTTTTGGGCTGGAAATCAGCTTAAAGAAGACAGAAGTTTTCTATCAACCTGCACCTCAGGAAGTCTTCCATCATCCCCATATCACCATTGGCCAATCAGAGCTCAAATCAGTCCAGCAGTTTAATTACCTAGGGAGTATCATCTCCTTGGATAGAAAGATTGACGGAGAGATAAACAAGAGATTAGCAAAGGCATATGGAGCTTTCAGAAGAGTCCATAAAAGAGTCTGGTGAAATAAACACCTGAAGAAAAGCACAAAGATCAGTGTTTACAGAGCCATTGTGCTGTCTACTCTCTTGCATGGATCCGAATCATGAATCATCTACCACCACCACCTGCGACTCCTAGAACGCTTCCATCAACACTGTCTCCGTACAGTCCTAAACATCCACTGGTCAGATTATGTGACTAATATGTCTGTTCTAGAACAGGCAGCAGTAAAGAATATTGAGGCCATGTTGCTGAGAGGAGGTGTAGCAGTGAATCTGCCTTGTATGAGAAAACTGTTGTTTAGGCATGTTTTAAAATGGCTTTTTTGTAGTCTCTTTGCTAACTCATGTTCTTCTTCCCAAAATCCCCCACGGCCAGCTCTTATCTCTGTCTCAGGAATGTCCCGAGAAGATATCAAGAAGTCTTCTCATTGGACCTTGTTAACACCTTCCTTATTTGGCTGTTAACTCCCTGCCTGATTGGTTTTTTGTAAGACCCCTCACCTTAAATGGTCTCCTTTGACCCTCCCAAGAGCTTTATAAACCCCTACCCCACAATAAACTCTCTCTCTCGCCTCCTCTCCAAGTCCCGTGTGCTGTCTCTCTGGCTGCCATGGGACCACGTGGTGGGAGGAGGGGGAGCACCTAACCCCTCCATGCGTCCAGGACCCGAAGAAACCCCTGGAGCTGGAGTAACCCCTTCCCTATCCACCTCAAGCCTTCAGAAATGGAACCCCACAATGGGAGGAATGCAACCAGAAGGTGCGTTGGGCAGGACATATCTCAAGGATGAAGGACCACCGCCTCCCTAAAATCGTGCTTTATGGT